AAGTTTTACTTCCTTCTTTTCATTCCAGCTTTATTAACAAAGACGGCACGTTTTTATACGCCCAAAGAAATAGTTTAGGCGTATATTGTAATCGCACCGTCGGTCCGTTCACATTTAGATTGTGCTCACTCTACAGGCAACAATTCTTTATGGATTCTTTTGATTTTTAGTTTGTGGGTCCATGTCATTATGAAGATAATCACTGTCGATTTTCATAATGATCTGATAATTTTTCATCGAAATATCATGTCCGACTTAGCGATTTCACTCTATTAGCTATATTGTGGAACTCGCGCTCACTCTACAGTTCTTTATGGATTCTTTTGATTTTTATTTTGTGTCAATGTCATTATGAAGATGATCCCTATCGATTTTCGTGATTTTTTTTTTCTTTTGTTTCTTTTTTTTTCCCTTTTGAATGAAAATTCGTTGTTTCGTTTCTCTGCAATATTTAAGAACGATATTCTGGCGATAGTTAGAAATCTTAATTCCTAGTAAAACCAGTGAATTAAAAATAACTGTGATATCTGCATGAGAGAACATCTGTTATTGAGCTGGAGGGTAACAAAAATCCACTTAATGATGATATTTCCTGTGTCATTTTTACATTTAAAAAAGAACAAATAAATGAAATAAACCTTTCTCAGAACAAAATGGCTGAAATTTGTGTCAATATAAACATGCAACTGTTTAAGAGCCATTCGTTTGCTGTACCGACTCGCATCAAAATTACGACAAAGGAAAAATAAAATAGTTATTTTGCGAGAACTAATACGAAGTTCTTCTCTGAAAAAGATAAAAATTCCTGGTCCAGATTCTATATGAATCCATATGAAAACCAATATATTACAAAGATTCTTGATGGAAGAAATAATTCTTGGTTCTATTGGACTCTCTTGATAATAATCATAGTTCTTGCCCGGGTTAAACAAAGTTTTATTTCCGACAAATTGTTCTCAATGATCAGACGAGACCCCAGGGACCCTCTTTACAGTTTGATTGGGTCATGTTTATTACCTAGAAACGACCTTCTTCTGGTGGAATATTGATGTAGAGGGATACTCATTGACATCTTGCCAATAGTCCATATTGCTTCATTTGACTGTCAGCAATCAGTCCCAAGGTCACTAGAGTCGTTACCGGTTCCTTGGGGTGTTTCTAGTTCATCCACGTAGCTTGCTTAGAGCTTGGAATATAATGAATGGAACTCTCAATCGCAATTTCTTAAACTTTTTGCCACTTCCTGACTACGAATAATACCGGAAATTGTACGTGTTGGTAAAAAATCATTTTTCTTTGATTTTTAAACTGGAAGCCACTACAGAGTTGACTGATTCATGGAAGTAAAATTTGAACGAAAGAGCTAGGGGCACATATAAATAGTGTTGGCATAAATTCCCAACGATGAGTAGCAAGTGAAGAAGCGGGAAATTGGGTATTAGCGTTATGTGGCTTACTAAATTTCATAAGACAAAACGAATTTATTATATTAGAAGGCAAACCTTTTTCATCACGAAGAACCCTCCTTAATTTTGACGACATCAAATAATCCTCTACAGTCATTTAATTTGTTCCGTTCTATCAAATTTAACACGTGTTGAAACATGATTCATTACATAAAGCCTAGTCTTTGTATATGTGCGATTATGAACTTATTTCCCATCCGACGTCTATGGTTCATATAATTCCTGAACATACATAACCAGATCCTGACGCAAGGGTCGTAAATACCAACTAACACAGGAACTGGTTAAACCGTGTCTATGGACCGCCATTCCTAAGGGGGCTCTAAATCCCAGAAAGAAATAAAAGAGAGCATTATGTTAAAAATATATTTTTTGGGAAGCCCCGTCCCACAGGCACCAATTCACTGGGACCACTGTATACGACCAGATTCTAATGATATGGGACATACAAGAACTTTTCGACCCAGGCTCTGTTTCTTGTCCCTTGGTGACCTTCAGCCTAGAGATATAGCCACAGAAGTTGGCTGTTATTGACTTGTATATTAGGCTTGTATGTCAAGGTTAATGATACAGTAATCGCCAGTATTTATATTATGAATATTCTATGTTCTTGATCTCTCTATGTAATTTAGTTGGCAATTATAGATTTTATATGTGTTAATGTATATCATTAATCACTTTGTAATTAACATAATTTTAGATAAAGCGATGTGGATTATATGATACATTTGCAGAAATTTTAGTTAAACAGTTGTCAGATTTGTTTTGGTCTTGATTATATGTAAATTTTCTAGAAATGTACGAAAATCGCATAATTCCTTCAAAAATACCTCAAACTTTCTTTTATATATTATATGACAGTCTCAAAAAAGACGACTCATCCTTTTAACTTTCAAAAACGGATAATTCTGGACACACTAAGATTTGAAGGCTCAAATTTCGACGGCGAGCTGTGAACACTATAACTGATAAGCTTAGGTAAAACAATTGAAGTTTATGAAATTAAGGCCGATTGTGCAAACGGATGGCAAATCTGTCCATTTAAGTCGCTGTGTGGGCATATTGTCTCGCTTATAATGTTGAATATTTTAGATCGTTTCAACTTGAGAAAGTTGATGTGGCCAGGCCTTCACTAACGTGTCCTTTTCCCTCCTTAAGTCACGTGATGTAAGGTGACACATTAATACCAATACCAACATTTTGGATTCTTGAGAAACTCCGGTGACAACGTCTTAACTAATTATGTTACTTAAAATAACATTTAATTCAGATGATGACATGCCTTATAGACTTGTTATAAGCAGGTGAGTAAATTAGGCAAAGAAATGTTCAAATCATAGGAAAGCAGACAAATTAAAGGAATTTTACGTCTTACTGTTCACAGTACAGGAAAAGAGCCGAGTAATAAAGTTACTGTTGAAAAATTAAAATAGCTCTAGATATCGTCAATGTTCAAAAGGGCTATTTCAAATCTGTTTGTGTTCACGACAGAATTTGAACGCGTAGGTGAAAGTTGGAGATATCAAACTAGGTCCACATTACTATGGGAATATACAAATAAAAATTTGACTTATTAATTATTTTATAAAGAAAAAAACTTCTGGGTAGTTTTTATTAAAATGTAGAGTTTTACAGAGTTAAATGTTTCATTTTGTGTTCCTTTGACAAAAGAGAAAAATATGAAACAGGAAATCATCTAAATGAATACTGCATGACATCCATTACCGCAATCTGGAGAAGAAAGGTCGGTGGTAAATCTCATTTATTCCATTTCACAACTTAGGTCTAAAATAGAGTCTAAAATACTCCAATCATTTACAAATAGAGTAATAGCGGTCATCGTTGACAGTTCTTAAAAACAAAATGACCATATCACACTGTAGTATTAATGGGTTGACGGTGGTCATTTAATTTTTAATTGTTCTTAGTACACGTAAATCCGAACTGACCATAACAAGCCGTAGTATTAAAGGTATGGCGGTGGTCATTTAATTTTTGAACTGTTTCTAAGTACATATAAAGCCAAACTGACCCTATCAAGACTTAGTATTAATGGCCTTGGTCTATATGTGTGATGCTATCGGGAATTTGTAGCCAATGTGTTAACGTATTTAACAAGATATCACTGAACTGAATTACACTCATTGTGTATTTGCATTTTACAGATTATCAGATGTCGTGCGAGGGGAAATATTTGTCTCCTAGTTGACAGTCGAGTGCTAAATGCTTAACTAATAGCACCCAAATTCCGTGATAACGCGGTTTATCAGGACAAAGCATCTTGATGGGGATTTCAGAAGCTTAATACAGAAGACTAGCCAAGAAGAAGCTTTGTATCGACTCAATTTCTATAACGGTTCAATCAATTTTTATGATTCTTGGTAATAAACGTTATCACTCCAACATCCCATTGAAATTACCATTTTAATTGTCTTCTTTTCTCCTTCTAAATTACAATTTATTCCTTCATTCAGCTGAAAAGACGCTAAAGGCTCGTAGAGATCATTGAAGCATACGTTCATAATGAGCATGTGCATTAACAAGAGCATTGTCATTTGCTGGTTATTGGTGCAAATTGGATAACGAATGATCGTCTTTGGTATATATATGTATGGGCATATTACGGGCTCTTTCTATTGAACTAAATCTATAAAATGTAAATTGATCTATATATTTAGCCCCATCTACATAAACTCTTTCTTTCTGATCTGAATGAGCAAATGAAATTGAATTGTTTCGTATCCCACTTTCTGCTGATTGAGCTTATGAGGATGACTATTGGCATGAAGTATGCAATGGGGAGAATAATTATAACAGAAGAGTTGTTTTTTATTTGTTTTTTTTTTGGGGGGGGGGGGGGTCCAATAATCGTAGGAGTGTACAGCTCACTTCCGGTAAACTGTCCAATCAAAACGACTAAACGACATCCATGCAGTGTGCAATATGGTAAAATGGTTATAAAAATCTGAATGGACTCATTTGCCCAAACACAAGGATTATAAATTCATTATTGTAATGCTCTGATATTGTGGTTTGTTACATCGACTCTGCATATCATGGTGCATGGTTCCAATAGAAATACCTATACATGGGTATTATATGGTCGCCCATAAACATTATCATGGTGGTTATATATTTAACGAGTTTTACGTCTTACTTTGTGTAGCTGATCAGACCCATGAAGTTGATGAACAACTTTGCCTTATTGCCTCATTTTAACAAATATAATTTTCTGAATGTCAATCTCCGTCTTATACCTTGACTGCAATAGCCACCTTTCTTGTATCATGGAAGTTTATAAAAGTAGCGAATACGGCCAACCACTGTCGTCGACAGAAAATTTGTGAACAATAAGCCATAGCGTTGACAGTCTGTCTGTCGAGGCCTATGATTGGTTGTAGTCGCTAGCGTACAATCCAAGCAAATCGCTGCATTATGTGATACAAGAAATGTGATATTGTAGTCCAGGTATAAGACGAATTTCGTAACAGCTTGACATTGTGAAAAAGTATGGCATTCTGTTCAACCGCATAATTAAAAGTAACCAAACTGATCTGCCCATCTGTAAAAATCATCAATATTTCTATATTCAAACTTCTCTTCAATCAACTCAGGTTCCGATTGTGATTCGTCTATGAAGATTTCGTCGTTTATTTCATGATTCAGATATTGCCTAATCTTTGATGGAACAGGCAAAAGATTCATTTTCTCTAAACCCAAAGCTTTCTGAAGACAATGCCTGATCGCAATTCGACAATTTGATTTTAGAGTCCTTGGCTTCGAGCACAATTCAGATAGCCAATTTGCTCTTTTATGATACTTCGGTTCACAACAAAGTATAAATTTCGGATTTTCTAAACAACGCAAAACGTCAGTCTCAGAACAACTTCCATACCAGTACATAGTTTCCAAAATATCTAAAGGAATCATCCTGCTTATTATTGAGTTCATTAATTTGTCGAAATTGATTAAACTGAAATCGATACGACATCCGTACCGAAGAAATAACTCAATTATTTCACTATCTGAAAAAAAGGCCTCCTGAATTGGGGATGACCCTTCGTTGTCAATAACCTCGTAATCTGCACCTTGATCAAGAAGATATTTCACTACTTCCAGCACCCCCGGCTCATCTGATACCACCGCAAATCGTAGGGCTGTCCATTTTGAACAAGATTGTTTGTCAATGGAGCAGCCTCTCTCAACCAATGTTTTGACATGGTGTAAAAGTCCCATCTCAGCCGCCCACATCAGAGCTGTTTCACCATTTTTGTTTTCAGAATCTAAATTATTACATTTGGTAATAAATTTCTCAAAAGTGTTGGACATTTGTTCTCTGAAATATCTGTTGTACTCTGTAGGTTCAAAATCAAATCTAGAAAAATCATTAGTCATGGCCACCATGAGTGGCGTGACGCCATCTTTTGTTTTAAGTGATGCATCACATCCAGCATCTAGTAAAGCATTTATTGCATTGATTGCACCACTATCAAAGACATGTGTGTCCATATGTTTGATAACTTTGTGTAAGGCGTTTGAATTCGTTCTGGTGTCCACTGCATTCACATCTAGGCCTTTTGTTATTAAAGAGGGTATCAAGGTAGGCAAGCCCTCGGAAGCCACCAGAAGAACTGTTTGTCCAGAGCTATCTTTTACGTTGATGTCAGCCCCATGAGCGATAAGTTCTTCAGCAAGATGGGCGTTATTGTTTTCAATTGCAAGTAATAACGGTGAATCATTGTACTTGTCTCTAGCATTGACATCTGATCCAAATTCTATCAAGAGCATTGACATTTCTCCGTAGTTATTTTTAACAGCTAACACAAGAGGCGTGCTATCTGAAAACTCACTCCTCTGATTGACACTGGCTTCGTTTTCGAGAAGAATTTTCACTTTTTCATAATCATTCTTTTCAGTCGCTTTAAAGAGATCCTTATTGATAGCATCCTTCTTCTCTTTTAGATCTTTACAAACTTTTTCAATGTCAGCAGATGTAGCAGCTTGTTCAAGTTTCACTGCTCCATGCTGATTCTTTTCGGTCGCCTTACAAGGATGCTTATTGATATCATCCTTCTTCTCTTTTAGATCTTTACAAACTTTTTCAATGTCAGCAGATGCAGCAGCATGTTCAAGTTTCACTGCTCCATGCTGATTCTTTTCGGTCGCCTTACAAGGATGCTTATTGATATCATCCTTCCTCTCTTTTAGATCTTTACAAACTTTATCAATGTCAGCAGATGTAGCAGCTTGTTCAAGTTTCACTGCTCCATGCTGATTCTTTTCGGTCGCCTTACAAGGATGCTTATTGATATCATCCTTCTTCTCTTTTAGATCTTTACAAACTTTATCAATGTCAGCAGATGTAGCAGCTTGTTCAAATTCTCTCAAATTCACACTGAAATATACAAGCAATTGTTCGGTTTTGATCAATTGTGAAAACAGAAACATCAATGATTGAAGCTTCGATATTAAAAAGTGAACGACTACTTGATGAAAAAATGATTTTGGATTGGCCTGGTTGTTGGCTTCTTTTTTTTACCTGTTTGAGTCTTGACCAATGGACCATGGCGGGGTCGAGGGATGCGGGATAAAAACGGAAATCGACACAATTAAAATTATTCAGAAAAGTATTCACATTACCTGTCAATTTTACTCGGGATTGCCCGTTTTCTTTTAGTTTTCTTACAACAGTTGAACATTCTGTCAAGTTTTTGTCAATTATCTTTCTTCGGTTTGCACAATATTTGAATTAGACCACTACTTATATACATAAATATTCTGACCTACTTTATCTTTTCACCGTGATATAATACCCTCTATCAATATCAACTATTATAATTTGAGACGAGCAAAGTTGGGATGGGCTTTGGGACAACATTGTCGACACCAAAGTGCGTCTAAAAGGGTTCTCCCAAGAAAATGTTTGAAAAATTGAATTGGTTTTGTGAATTCTGACACATATTTTTGGGCACAAGCGGGTAAATTTAAGTGGTGGTACAATTTGGGGTTCCGCTTACAGTCCCTTGAAGATGGCCATATCTCTCTAAGAAATAAAATAATAACCCTAAGGATTTAATTAAAAGTGGGCGATACCCGTTATAGTGAATATGATCATATTGATAAGTACATGCTTACCGATTGGGAATACTCATTCTTAAAGCTTAGTACAATATTTCACTGTCACCATTGTTAAAGTCGTTTCTAGGTCATGAAATGATGTAAGCCTAGCTATTTCGCAATCATTATTTTATTTGCCGAAGTGTTAATTGATGTAACTACGTGTTACTCTTAGGACATACATTACATTACGAAATGATATTGAAGCAGCCGCCTGGACAACTCACCGAAATATATCGACCTAGAACTGATTTGCAGCGCCTTTCAATGTTTCGTCATAGCTACGGATATATACCTAGGATTTACCCCTAGTAAATTTAATAATTTACGGATTTTTTTTTCATTAAATCAAAAACTAGTTGAACATGCAAAACGTTAAGTTGACTAAACCAATTTCGCTTGAATGTTATTTTTGCAAACTCTATCTCGACTTTATTTACCTAGTCAGGCAAAGAAAAGTAGCTCGTAAATCCTCATTTCATTCCATTTGAATGGTGTGAAATAATGTAGTTTACCACAGAGCCAAAATGTAGTATATCACAATGTCAAAATATAGTATACCACAGTGCCAAAGTGTAGTATACCACTGTGTCAAAAAAAAGTATACCACAGTGTCAAATAATGTATTATACCACAGGGTGTGTAGTATTCGACAATGTCAGAATTTAGTATAACATAGTGACAAAATGTAGTATACCAATAAGTAGTATACCACAGTGTCAAAGTGTAATATACCAAAATGTAGTATACCACAGTGTCAAAGTGTAGTATACCAAAATGTAGTATACCACAGTGTCAAAGTGTAGTATACCAATATGTAGTATACCACAGTGTCAAAGTGTACCAAATTGTAGTATACCACAGTGTCAAAATGTAGTATACCAATATGTAGTATACCACAGTGTCAAAGTGTAACAAAATGTAGTATACCACAGTGTCAAAGTGTAGTATACCAAAATGTAGTATACCACAGTGTCAAAGTGTAGTATACCAATATGTAGTATACCACAATGTCAAAGTGTACCAAATTGTAGTATACCACAGTGTCAAAATGCAATATACAATGTAACAAAAACGCAGTTTGTCATAGTGTCAATATAGCCTAAAATATGCCAACAGCACTGTCAAATCAAACTAAGAAAAGACTCTATCTCGGAGACAGAATGATCGAGTTAATTGCGAACAGTACTGTTATTATTGTAATAAATCCATACATGAATGATAATCATAACAATATAACTCATTTATCGACAAGTCTGCCCATTAAACAACAATAACAATTAGTAGGTAATACATCTTAACTTGTCTGTCTTTTGTTCACATGTATTATACAAATAAAAACTGACAACCATTTAATTGATCCGATATGTAGTCCGACTTGTTCTCCCTTTTTTCAATATGCTTATTTCTATAATGCTTCTTTTTTTTTTCACTCGTATTTGTCAATCGTACCATAGTCTTAGAAAGAAGCCTTTTTTCAACTAAGCAACATCAGTAATAGTGTTCACAGCCGAATTTGAGCCTTCAAATCCATTTCACTCGTTTGTAAAAATATGAATTTTACTCGTTTGAGGATTTTTTTATTTTACTCGTTCGTAGAAATAAGAATCTTACTCGCTTGTGGATATTTGAATTTTACTGTGTATAAATTTGATTTTCACTCGTGTATAGAAATTTGAACTATACTTGTTTGTAGAAATTTAGATTTTAATCGTTTGTATATATTTTAATTTTACTCATGTGTAGAAATATGAAACTTGGTCGTTTGAAGAAATTTGAATTTCACTCGTTTGTAGAAATTTGAATTTCACTCGTTTGTAAAAAATTGAATTTTAATCAGAATGTGTAGAATATATAATTTTACTCGTTATTAGAACTTTGAATTTCAATCGTGTGTTTTCCATAAATTTCACTCTCGCCCGAACGACGGAACGATTCGGACTTACTGAAATGGACTATGTAGCTCATTAGAAGCGTTCCACTACAAGAGTTTCTGTTTGATAAGGTCTCATTATCAGAAGGTCTGTATAAATACAGCACTAAGCGTTAAATTAATACGATTGACAGGACTGACATGTTAAAAACTAGTTGATTTCTGGTTGAGTCAATATTGACACAGCTGAATATCAACATGATACTGACAGCAAGACTTTATCTGATGAGGTCAAGGTCATGGTAATGGTTTACCGGATCATTGAGTTGATTTATTACTCTTGTCTATAGATTGATAGATTTTCAAACAAAATTTTTTACCAGTTGGTGTAATTCCTTACCTTATTTGTTGTTAAGAAACTACGTAAAACCATGACTCTTGAGATGGGGTCCAGGTTATGATTATGGTTTACCGGATCATTGAGTTGATTTACTACTCTTCTTTAGATTGAGAAGTAGGCAATAGGCCTGTTTCAGGATTGACAAACTTTATTGGGAATTAAACTGCTTTATAGTACGTGTATAGTATAATTGTAGTATAGTTTCAAGGATATTTAAAAAAAATATTAATGATATAAGAAAAATAGAAAAAAAGCAAAGCAAAAACTTATATAATAGACAGTAACGTTTTCGATGTGATAATCTTCTTCATTGAGAAAGTAACATTTTGCATTAATTTATTGTCAATTGAAAAGATAATAAGTGCCTTGATTTTCATAGTTTTACTTTCGGCATTTTACCAATTAACCATGTATTTAAAAATAGTTCCCGTTTTGTCTATCGAACCGCTTATCATAAATTTTATCAATTTAATTTTCTGTCTTACCAAATATTTGTTTTTATTGACATTGTTAACAAACGCTTGAAGTCTTGAACAACCAGTTTCAATGTTTCAATTAATCCTTATCAATCGGGGTAAACAAATATGTCTATAACATGAATGCTCAAGGTCTGCAGTAAAATCTCACGTGTGTGCCAGCGCTTTCACGACAAGATTATCGTGCTGCCGACAGAATTTATGATATTTGTCGCCGATTGTTTTATCATCGTCATATTCCAATCAGACTCATTTTCCTTTCAATTCAATGATCTGCAAAAGTCGCCGACCAAGCATAAAGCACCACTGTCATTCAAAATAAAACATTTTTACTTAGATTGAATAATATTTATCCATAATAAGGTGTATAATAAATCCAATTTTGTACAGGAAAGGCATTTATTGGCATAATTTCCAGTTGATAACAAAATCTAATATTTTTCTACATATTTTGCGTTTGGATACTAGAAGCGAATATTTAAAGAAAATGTTTAAAGTGAATGGTTGAAATGCTGAATATATCTATATTGAATATTCAATTGGCGTTTTTCGTTTAATGTCATTCATCTCCGTCACTCTATTTAGAGGCATGAATACATAGCAAACGTTATTCATTTGATATAATTATCATTGATATACTTATCAAAAAGTACAAACATTACGATTTGTATTCGGAAGGGAATGCTAATCCAGGGACAATGTTTCCCGTGTCAAACAGGTGCGGATAGATAACACAGTACGGTCTATTGTTTAAACATATTACATTAAAGATATGTAGGCTTAAAGGTGTTGTAAAGAGGTTTTCTAAATTTGTATGCGTATCGGGGAAATTGATAGCATTGATTTGCTAAAACTTAGTGTACATCAATTAACGTAAAAAATGCTTCATCACATAAGCCTTTCGCGATTAGTGACGCCATCAAGCACATAGTCTTAGTGGAATTGCAGAAACCACAGACGTCTGACTTAATATTGGAATGGTGGAAATTGTATTACAAGCATATTTTGCGTAATCAATTACTTAGATTAAGTGGAATAGCAGCTAAGAAAACCTCTTTACAATTCCTTAAAAAAAAACACTTTCCATGTGGTCCATTTTACTCAGTGTAATATAGCTCTTAAAATTCGCAGCAACCAATGAACTAAAGTAAATGACAAATAAACAAAACATAGCAAAGAAAATATATAAACAGTAACACGAACTGAAAAGCAATTTCATGGTTTGATATGAGTTTGTTGACTTAATATAAAATATTAATGGAGTTATATGACTTGGTTGTTATCATTTAATAACTTTCATTGGGGTTTTTTAATTAAAGATACCCAACAGATTTTCAGCTATTGATTTTCAGCTATTGATTTTCAGCTATTGATTTTCAGGAAATGGTAGGTTTAAGTCTTCTAAATGTAGAATGGAACAAGATGATGCGGTTTGATCCTGTTTTGTCTTACATATAAGTTATATAAAGGCAATCTATGATGGTGAAGTACCTAGAATACATTAAAAGGGAGATAACCATATTTCACGAGAAAAGTTTGTACTGAAAATCTTTCCATCATTAATGGCCCTAAGGACTCGTCTTTAAACAAACATTCCGAACTCGTCTCGAAGTGTAGACATGAAATAAATTCTATATGTAAATTTAAGAACGCAATGTGGTCTCATATGTCACAGATTGATAGTGATTGTTGTAGAATATGTAATTTTAATGGACTTTTTCTCGCGGTTTTTCACGTTTGCTGGTGACCAAATACATTTCAGTCGCCATAAGATCGCAAATGGTCGCAGTCCAAACAACATGTTTCAGGTCCTGTTTTAAAGCATATTTAATATATTGAGAAAAGACAGTTATAGTGAGTTCTATGTTAATATTTTACATTGAGAGTTCTATTTTACATTTTACATTGTGGTAAAAGTTGTAGTTCTATTATAATATTTTACATTGTGGTAAAAGTTGTAGTTCTATGTTAATATTTTACATTGTGGTAAAAGTTGTAGTTCTATTTTAATATTTTACATTAAGAGTTCTATTTTAATATTTTACATTGTGGTAAAAGTTGTAGTTCTATTTTAATATTTTACATTAAGAGTTCTATGTTAATATTTTACATTGTGGTAAAAGTTGTAGTTCTATTTTAATATTTTACATTAAGAGTTCTATTTTAATATTTTACATTGTGGTAAAAGTTGTAGTTCTATTTTAATATTTTACATTAAGAGTTCTATTTTAATATTTTACATTGTGGTAAAAGTGATAGTTCTATTTTAATATGTTACATTTTGGTAAAATTAGTAGGTCTATTTTAATATGTTACATTGTGGTAAAAGTGGTAGTTCTATTCAAATAGTTTACATTGTGGTAAAAGTTGTAGTTATATTTCAATATTTTACATTGTGGTAAAAGTGGTAAATCCATTTTGATATTTTACATTCTTGTAAAAGGGGTAGTTTTATTATGATTTTATGTTGTGGTAAGAGTGATAGTTCTATTATAATATTTTACATTGTTGTAAAAGTGGTAGTTCTATTCAAATATTTTACATTCTGGTAAAAGTTGTAGTTATATTTCAATAGTTTACATTGTGATAAAAGTGGTAGTTTCATTTTGATATTTTACATTCTTGTAAAAATGATAGTTCTATTTTAATATTTTACATTGTGGTAAAAGTGGTAGTTCTATTTTAAGATTTGACGTTGTGGTAAAAGCTGTAGTACTAATTTGATATTTTACATTGAATACAAATTGTCTTCAGAAGTATTAGAAGTCTAAGAAAATCTCACGAGTCCTTCAAAAATACCTCAATCTAGGATTTCACTTTCTATTTCCATATTATGTCTTTATAATTATGGCAGTCTTGAGAAATGGAAACCTGGATAATTCTGGACACACTTGGGTTTGAAGGCTGAAATTTTGAATGTAAACTGTGAACACTATTACTAATAAGTTAAGGTAAAATATTCCCATTTAAGATGCTAAGGTACGATTGATCAAACAGATGGCGAAGCTGTCCCTTTAATTGTCACCCATGTAGTTGGAAAATGTGTGATGGCGTTGACTGTGTATTCTATCCGCATCAATATCATACCATACAAAATGGCCACCAAAATGTGTATCTTCCTTATGATGAATATGATATGGCGAAACAATTTGATTAAATAAAACGTGACTGTTGAAACAAAGCGAATGGCCGCAGTCACATTCTGATTTCAATTTTGTTAGTTCAGGATTAGTCAAAAGCAAACCAGGATATAAATTACCTTTCACTTTATAATACGAAAGTTTCTTGAAATAGCCTCCTTTATGAATCGGGGAATCTCTGGGAATTCACAAATTATTATGAGTATGAAGAAAAATATTTCCTTCTAAATGTCGAGTGCTTATTTAAATATATCGCATTTAGAAGGAAATATTTTTCTTCATACTCATAATAATACAAAAAAGTCCAAAAATTCGACGAGTAGTATCTCGGCTGTTGCTTGCAAAATTCTCACAGATATAGTTCAAGATGTCGTTGTCCAACCCTGAAAATATGACAATCACTGAATAAAAAACGGAATCCAAGGGATCAGCAAATTAAGTTGCCTTGGTATTTGACATGCTATTTTGTTCGTGAGAGTACTTGTACAATTTTTTTTCGATGTCTTTCATATTTTCAAAGGAAAACGTACAATTCATCTTAGATATACGAAAGTTTCATAGAATAAGTATTTTTTTTATAAATTTGCCACACCAAATATTGATTATAAAATCTTTTATTGTCTATGTAAAGTATAAGGAAATGAAAATCGAATCTAAAACTACAATGTTTATATAAGGTATAAGGTATAAGATAGAAGAACAATTAATAAGATTTTTTTGTAATTTTTTTTTTTTTCCATTAAGCTAGGAAATATCTGATAAAACGTTCAAACTCGTCCGAAGTAATCATCAATAAACTAAAATTGAGATATTTTGCATCAATTATGACTTGTTTTAGTTAATCAGGGACCGTATTTAAATGATCTCTTTCTCGATCTCTTAATGAAAAATATGATTAAAATAATGTAAAAGAAATGCTACAATATTTTTAAAAAATGAGAATTATTTGTACAAAGTAAGGTATATTTGTATAAAATTCTGAGAATTTTAAGGAATGGGTCGCCATTTCGTGTATTGATTTGAGTCTTGAATGTATTCTGTCAATAGTCTTTAGAAGTACTAAAAATGTACGAGAATCGCATCATTCCTTCAAAATTACCTCAAACAAGCAATTTCATTTTCTATATTTCATTTTCTGTTCTGACATATATATGACGGAGTCTCAAGAAAAGACGAGTCGTCATTCTAACTTTCAAATATGAATATTTCTGAACACACGTGGATTTGAAGGCTCAAATTTTGAAAGTGAGCTGTGAAGATTACTGATTAGCTTAGCTTAGTTCGGATGGTGAACTGTCTCCTTAAGATCACCAAATTGCAATACTAAGAACGTTGATTGGTTAATATTATAAGTGAGATATCATTAACCAATAGGTTATTTGCACATTAACAATGAAAAAAAATTAAAAAAATTAAAAAATTGAAAAAATTAAAAAAATTAAAAAAATTAAAAAAAATTTAAAAAAATTTAAAAAATTAAAAAAATTAAAAAAAAAACTCACAACCTAAAGAATAACGATAACAATAGCAGCTGTAAAAATTGTCAACACCAAGTTAAGAGCTGGTACTGTAGAAAGAGACCGAGCTATCAATTTACTAGTTTCAGGTTTCATCTTCTCCATTGTTTCTTCATCCCGGGCCATTTCCCATTTACTAGTATTTAGATTATAAAATACAAACTGTTCGTTATCAGGAACATATTGTGGTTCCTCACTGAATGGTGGTCTTTGTATCGGGGCTGGGCCGTTCACAGAAAATGACCCTGAAGCAGCACAATAATACACAGAACATTCTTGGCTAATGATGGCAAGATGTTGACTGTAACCTTTGGGACATTCTTTAGGTCCTTGTTTGTTGTTACCGGGAGTGCTTGGCGTGGCTCCGGCTAAGGGATTACCACTATTACAGCTAAAGAATCCACCAAATGGTAGAGAAAGTCGATTTCCTAGTTCAAAATCATCACTCAAACAAACATACAGATCACTGCCGATCATTCTCGATATATAGGTATCTGGACAGGAATTATCCATTGTAACTGGGTTGTCAACACGGGAAGAGTAAACACCTCCAAACAAGTAACCAGAGTTGCGAGGAACGGGTTTTAATGCGACACACCAGTAGACTGTTAAAGTGGCATACGAACGTCTGGTGCCCGAGGAACAGCAGCGACTCCACCATCCACATTTTCTACAGTTTCTGTAGGGAGTTGATCGTTTGTAATCTTCCGTGTAGAGTTTCACGGCTTGATAATTGGCAGGACATGAAAATTTTCCTGTTTTGGGATTCTCCTGGCTCAACTTTCCACAAAGATCACCAGCATCTCTTCGAGTCATGGTACACATCTGATAAACTCCACCAAAAGTTAAATTCGATGCAGCAGCCTCGCAACTTTCATCATCAACATTGGCTATGTATGAGAAATTGGGAGAGTCCAAATTCATACAGCCTCGGTATATATTATATTCATAGTATTTCCATATGGCATCATAAACGTGTTGCTTAACTTGATGAGCTAAGAAAGTGGGGATTTCTGGCAGGTTTTCGTGGGTTATTAAAAGATGGAGTGGTTCACCTGCTCTGTCCATAGCTACTAAATTCTTATCCAATTTTTCTGCCCATTTGTTTACAGAGTAATCTTGAAATGTAAACACCGATCCACCATACGCCATTATCTGAGAGCTGGTTATGCTTTTTTCGTAGGATTGTTTGGTGGAACTGGATACCGTCGATGAACGACTAAAGCTTGCGTGGACTATATTGAAAAAGTTTGCACTTGCAGAAGCCAAAATAGTTCGCTTTTGGTTTTCATTTTGTGCCATAAACTGTCGAGTTACAAAATCCTCTTGAACCAAAGCCGCACCCGCTGTGATACTATTAACGATAATGAGTTCCGAAATCACGAACTAAAAGCTCACTCAAGTACGTTGCTTCTCCAGTGTAATTAAGTTGAATACTTTTAGCGATTTTCATTAAGGCTTTCTTGAAGCTTGGGTGGAGTGGAGCGCCATATTGAAGCTTTGCTGTATATCGGATGTATCTAATTTGGATTCGGGTAACTTCTGATTTTCTGTTGATTTGCTTTGATTTGGCTGTTTCATAATCATTTGAGTATTTCCCACTTATTCCGACACCACGGAAATTCTACCCAGCTTCGGCATTGATAGACTTGGACGTCATACTTGTATAATTCTGCCAATGGTTGATGAGTTCAGCAAATTGTTGAATTCTGCTTCGTCGTTGAGGAATAAGGTACACGTCATCGGGTATTAAGAAGTTTCCATCAAGTTTACACGAGTCGTACCTAGGTTCGATCACCATACCACCATATTTATTCCGAAGGTTATCCCATCCATAAATAGGGAGTACATCAAATTTAGCAACTTCGTTATTCGAATCTTCAATGCATCTTTTGTAGACTCTTGAATCCATCCGTAGCACTGGATCACCATCTGGAGAATCGACAGCAGCAGCAATGCTAATTATAGAGAAAGCGATCAAAAACTTCAACATTCTGACAGAAAAGGCGTCAACTCAAGCCGAATGTTTAATCGATTAGATACTACATTAAAATGAAATAAATCGTCGTAAAGCGTATAGTATATCTATATACACGGAAATTGCCCTGGTTCTTTTTATATCGATACGTCTTTGTTAGCGCGGGAAAACACCAAATATCTATGTCATACACTAAATGAATAACACCCGTTTATCGTTTATTGAATATTAATACATTAAAGCTAAGGACACACTGTGTGAATACCTCCGTTGATAACTCGCCTACAAATTAAATACGCGTACAGAAAAAAAGTGGCAGTTGCACTGGGAGTTCTTTTGGTTTTACGGCTAATGCTTTGACTCCCATAACATTTTTAATTCCTCTGCCTTTTATGCACTCCACATTGCATCACTGGAGGTGACGCTACGGGCTTCTGTGATCGGTTGAGTTATAGGAAAGTTCGCAATAGATTTCGCCAGAGTGGACACACTTGCCGAACGAGTCGAAGTCGCTGAATATTCAGGCTAATAATATCAAACAAGCTTTCGATGCTAGGGCGAATGTCATAGCACTGGACACATTAGGCGAAGTTTGCTGGCGATGGACTCGCCCGAACTATTCGCCATGAAAAATTCGCCCAGTATGTCCTCGGCTTTAACATGACAATAATGTTACTGTGAGTCATCATTGATTAAAGTAAACTTGAAGGACCAACATGTGAAAATTTGATTTAATTTTCTTCCTGATCTAAAGGTCTCATTTATATATTATTTATATTATGGGTTCGAAACACAATAAGAGTTTAAACTAAGAGGGTACACCAACTTACTCGATATGTTTTGAACTATCTATATACAAGTCTGAAATGCAAGATTATGTGGCCGAGAAAACCCAATTTATTCAACACCGATTTTGTAATCACCTAAACAATTTTTGGCAAAATCTACAAAATTGTGTCGTCTGCAGTGCAGTGCGCGTTGCAAAAAATTGGCAAAAAGTTCTGTTGTTCATACACTCCGAAATCTCATGCGTAGAGAACTGATCAAACCAAAACTGCTTTACCATTTTTATTTTTAAGTTTTCTTTACAGACTACGACCAGAAAAAGAAAAAAAAGATCAACAGCACATTTAGGAAAATCATTCATTTCATTCAGTTTTCTTACGTTTACCAAAAAGCATAACGAACTTAAAACGTTTACGCAAACCTTTTAAATAGTTTTGGCGTTAAAAGTTAAAAAGCGGCAGAATTTATTTAGTTAAAACTATCAGATAAGTTATGGGACACGTTTCTTCAGATTTTGTTTTATAGTTTTCATAAAATTGAGCAAAACAGAAATAGGAAATTTCTAGTTTGAGGTATCTTTGAAGAGATAACACGATTTTCGTGCAGTTCTAGTACGTCTTAAGACTATTTTACATATATTCAAGACCTAATTCAAACCCCGAAAACGGCGAACCGTGGCCTTTAGATACGTTGTGGAACAGTACGAAATGTTAAATACACAAACAACTTTGAAATAGATAAAGTGTAACCAGGACATTCTAGATAAGACAAGGGAATGAAATGAAATCAATGGAGTTTTACGTCCTACTGATAAGACAAGGAAGTCATGAATAATAAGATAATAATAAATTTTAAAAATTAATTATGATTATAATTTAATATTTTCCCTTAACTCTTTGTTATCATACTTTTCCTCGTGAGCGATCTTAAACCTTCAAGTTTTGATTCAATTTGGCAAGTGTATACATGAACGTCTTCCTCCCTCTCTGAATATTAATCCCGTTGTTATTAACCCCTGTGGTCTCGAATACTGTGATTGAAAATGTGATATATCGTTCAGTTGTAACTGATTTGCATTGCTGTGCAGGTATAAGATCAAATGTGAAGGTAACAAGCCTGTAGCTAAAAGGGGACAAATGGAGAGGGGGCAATTGATTGCCTCCCTGAAATTACTGCAACTATACACCATGCGCCATTGCCCCTCCGTATATATAGCTTGCCCCTCCGAATAATCGAGTCTGGGTATGGGCCTGGAAGATAAAGAGTAAATGCTTCCTATTTCACCAACGCAGGTCGAAGTTATCTACTATCGTTATAATCCTCTTACAATTTCAATATTTGCGACAACATGTGTTCCTGAACATCACTATAGTCAAGTTAACACTACCCTATCAATAGAAAATACTGTCCTGTATATATTCAATAATTTATTTGAAGACTTATTTGAATTGACATCAATTTCAGTGGGGCCAGTGGGGGTCCTTGGGGACAGATTTCAAAATTTATGTCTTAACGCTTTTTCCCCCAAAAATGTGTCAGAATGCATCAAATCTATTTCTTAAAAATGTTCTTGGGAGAACCCACTAAGACGCTATATGGAAGACTTGCGACTATGGCGCTTCTGCATTTTGAATCTCAACCAAGACAGTTATCCCCCCCCCCCTCCACCCCTAATTAAGTCCATCTGCCCCCTATTTGTACCCCTGGTCTCGGGAGGCTGGCGCCGCCACTGATCAATTTTACAAGAAATCAACAGTAAATGATATAAAAACAATAACAATTGATAATATTTCATCAACAAATCATTAAAAAATATATGAATTTATATAAGACTTGACTTAAATATTTACAGCAAAATCCTCCACCTTAATATAAAGTTTAAAATGGCCATTTCATTCACTTTAATATGCCCAGACTATGACTCAATTAAAGCCTTGATATATCACGCCATTTTTGTTTTTCAAATATATGAGTGGTCTCACATTTCAATCGTTATCCTATACAATAATGTAACCCAATCTCTCACTGAACTGAGATTTAAGGGGCACATTGAGTTACTGGTCATATAAGAGAAGAATATCAGTCTCCTGTATCAAGGGTTACATTTTCCCCCAACTCCTGTACCCTTGAGATTTCAAAATTTTGCATTAAAAATCACAGCATCATTTACTTCTATGTTTGTAGGCATAGGAATTTGGCAAAAGATGTTTCTGAGTAGGCTCAAATTATTTCGACAGTGTGCACTAACAATAGTATGAAGTAAGTCAACTGTCACTAGCTCAATAATGGCTGTATTTATTCATGATTATAGCATATGTATCCATAGGAGACCTTCGTAATAGGTGTACCAAATTTAGAATAGACGTACGTAATGATTACATGTACCCCTTCCTAATACCACTTCACTGTTGGCTATTCTTGATTATATGCAGCCCTTAACAAATAAGTATCACTTTAACAAATATGCGTAACCCATCTAGAATAGATACACACAATCATGCACCCTTTCCTAAAAGTACATTATGAAAACCACTTGTATAAGAATGAATACACTTTGCCACTTTCACGAATAGATATACTCTTTCATGATTAGATGTACCATTCACAAATATACACTTTCATGATCAGATGAACAGCATAATGATTATATAACTTCATGATTAGATGTACACCTTCACAATTAGATGTAAACCCATTCATAATTAGATGTACACAATCATAACTAGATGTACACCTTGAAGATTAGATATAAACACATTCATGATTAGATATCTACCATCATTAGAAGTACACCATCATGATTAGATGTATAACTTCATGATAAGAAGTACCCTTGAATGATTTGATGTACATCTTCATGATTAGATATCTACAATCATATTAAAAGTACACTTAGATGTACACCGTCATGATGTACAACTTCATGAAAACAAATACACTTAAATGCTTAGATGTAAACCCCATCCTGCATAATTAGATGTAAACCCATCATGCATGATTAGATGTTAACCCCATCATGTATGATTAGATGTAAACCCCATCATGCATGATTAGATGTAAACCCCTTCATGCTTAGATGTCAACCCCTTCACCTATATTTAACAAAGAACTCTGACACAGTGACCAAAATACTTTCATTGGTATAATTAAAATTTTTAAGGCAATAATTTTTGACAAGATGTGCTAAGACCGTAGAAATTGAGCAATTTTTGAATAGTGTATTTCATGTTTTGATATTTGCAAATAATTTTGTAATTTTTGCACCTTATTTAACTGCTTGACTAACTTGGAAATCTTTTGGTTTAAAATAGTCACTGCATGATTAACATATTGGTTGGAAACTCTAGTTATAAACGTAAAGCGAGTTTGTAGTCTCTTCAACCTTTGAGTTAAAACATACGACATTCTCTGTGCGTACTCTGCATTTCTCTGTATACACTGCCTGTTACAAATACTGACTGCTGTCTCTGTACGTAATCTATATGTGGAATGTTGGAATATAAATTTGATTAAGTTTGTAAGAGTTATTGGAACTGATAGTGGAAAAACAACACTGTCTGCCTGTCTGAAATGAAAAAGCAAATTCACGTCAAAGGAAATTTCAATATCTGTATAATTGCAAATATTATACGCAGGCTTGTATAATACGCACTCTTGCTTACCTTCAAGAAATTGGGAAAAATATATTTACCTGAAAATAATACAAATCCCCTATTTAGAACAATTTCAGGCCGATCTGAGGATCTTAAAGGCGCCATCCCAGAAAAAAGAGTCTTTACTGATTTCATTAGGAATCACTTATGTATTATGATACTCAAGGCATGTCTTCTTAGTTCTCTTAGTGTAAAAAGAAAAGAAAATTGCTATTTAGATTTTCAGCAAAATTCAAATTAATTTCATGATGTTTTTTTTTTTCAGTTTTTAGAGGAGTTCTTATGTAAAGGGATGAAGAGATCTAAATATTTGATTTACAAGCTGATTGAGCTCAATTTCAGCTTTTTGACTGCAGATATTACAATAACTGCCTATAAGAAGTGACGACAGTCCAAACTTCCATGGAACATTTTTGTTAATTGCAGGAAAACAAGACTTCATTTTTCAATTCTGAAAAGTGGTACAGGTAAAGCAAATATTTAGGCTACTGAATCCCTTTTTGCTCATCTGTATAGTATGGCCTATTTCTTATTATTTTGTAATGAAGTTATCATTTATAATGTTATTACTATTATCACTGATATACTGTGTAAATGAAGGAACAAAGGGAGATAAGAGGTTTGTGTGAGGAAAGAAAATAAAAATTCAACGAGTAAATAAATAAGTAATGTGTAAGTAATAGTTACCTATTGGCAGGAAAAAACATTATACTGGGATAATTATCTACTGTATATTCCCAAGGTAAATCATTTAAATCTCCATCAATCCTACAAAATATCAACAAAAAATGTGGGGCAGCCAAAAGTGCCAAACCTTAAGTAGAACAAGGTGACAGTCTTTTTGGGTTTAGCTTTCCTACAATTCACAATACATCATTGATATCAAGAAACAAGTTCTCATGACAGGCTTTGATAGGTTGAAAATAGTCCTATTGCAATGGACTGTGGTAGAAATCATGTTAGATTACAATGGGGACGAAAAATATCAGATGAAAAGAAACAAATCTCATTTTAATTAGGTGCAAAGGTGCAATTATTTTAACAAAAATTCACTGACTTAGAGAAAATCAGATTGTGCACATGGTCAAAATACTCAAAGAGTACATATTACTTACCTAGTAAATCTAATGTTTTGGTTAAAACGGAAGTATTTTTTTAATGATAGATATAAATGGTTAACACTAGTACAATAACCACACCATAATGAATACACCAAAACTACAACATCCTACAGTGGAAGAAAATATGATTTTTTGGTAAAAATGCCCTGTTGTCTTATAGCCAGCAAGAGTTATGGTCTGCCAGAGGGCATGGCTAGCTTTAATTGCCTTAAGAGTAATCTACCCACGTTGCATCCGCCTTATTTTCGGTTAACTTTGTCTTTAAAGTTGTCAAATATGAATAATAACAGGATTTTAAATGACAGATATACATCATGAGATTTAAAAAAACTACAAGTATTTGTAGGCAGTCAAAAATTTAAGCATACATTATTTTGCAAATTCCATATAACTTCAAGAAGTATTTCATCAGATCATGAATAGCTTGTGAAAACCCCTCAACAAAATATCTAAAAGAAACATTTAGATTTGCATTTTAATAATTACTAGTGCTGGGTATCGTCAATCATGCTACGATACGATATGTATCATGATACAAAGGTCATGATACGATACATATCTCAATATGGGGTAACAGGATAAAATATAACATTTTATTTCATTAAGTTTCAATATATATCAATTCGTAACTTTATAACTGTGATATTTGGTAATATAGTTGATAAAAGTGGTTAGCGTCCACTGTCTTATAAAAAGTTTCTAACAATTTCAATGACAAAAATTGTTATATCATAAAACAACTTTTTAAAATCCCCACTTTTTTATGGAATGAGAGGTATCGTCAAGTATCAATACAAGACCATGCGATACGATTTTGTGGCATTTCATAACGATATACATCGATGCACCGACATATCGCGCCAGCACTAATATTACATGTATTGTGTATTGTGCATTGAACAGGACAAAGACAAGAAAAATTCAACTACTAAAAAAAGTGGCTGAATAAATGAATATTTGCCTACCTGGCTCGGTTTATGTATAGTTTGATGAAAGGTTTGAGAAGTAAGTTCGGTGACACATAGATCACGTTGACTACAGCTACTAATGATAGGTTGGTGAGTGACTAGTTTACGTCGTAATTTACCCTTAGTATAGTTGACTATAAATGTGGCTGTAAGAAACAAAAAATTCTCGTTCGGAAAGTTTCGCTCAAATATGACTCAAGCAATTATGATGGTCCAAAACTTTCTATTTTGTTGAATTCTGTTTTAGCTAATGAAGACAAAACAAAGGCACCTCCATGCAGAGTGATGTGGACAGTTTTGCCTGGCTTGACCCCTGGACCCTGGTAAGCAAGCGAGCATCAAACTCACTCATTCTAAGAAGTTTACTCACCAACATTAGTAGTTGTAAAGTTTTCTTTTAAAATGTAATGCTCTTCAACCTACATTATACATAATAATCCAAAGTAAATATATAAATGTAATAATCAGTGCCAATTCAAAGTAAATATATAAATGTAATAATCAGTGCTATGCAGTGTGCAATGAGGCTATCTTTGGTCCCATCTGAACAACTAGCTGATTTTTCAATGTCAGCCCCTTCGACTTGGATCACTACTGACAGGGGGAAACCTTGTTTAAAATCCAAAGGTATATTCAAAACCAATACCAGGATTCAACTCTGGAGCTTCAGGTTAGATAGCAAGCATCTAACTCACTGAGTAACTTCCTCTCTCCATTAGATCAAGAAAAACAAAATACTTAATTGTACTTACATCTTTATCTATTATAACAGTAGCAGGATGTTCTCGTAACTTATCTATATTAACACCCAGGCGTTTGGCAAATAGTGAATGATGTAACGAATCAATTGCATAAAAATTAAGGCTTTTATTTTGTTTACAGCTCAGACCAGAAAATGATTCTGGGATCTCAAACTCAGGATAAACAGGAGCACTTGGAATATCTTGGATTTTTTGTAGAGTTAAACGTTTGCATAGTCTCAGTGGAAGAATTTCTAAATTTTGATACACATATCTGTCTGTCCGTCTGCGTATTTTTTCACTTTTGATGCGCTGTTCATATTTTGGACACATATTGCATGTAATGCTAGAGTGTTCATAGCCATTATAAGTGTCTTGTGAACTGACACAAGCGTTCACACTTAAAGAATGATCTAGTTTTGGCAAAGATAAAATCCCTGAATTGAAATTTATTGCACAACTCATTGGAGCGAAAGGCATGGATCCCAAACTCATTCTATGTTGGCAAAACTCACACACGTTTTTACTTTCACTTGTGTTCACTATAGTCACACAACATTTATGATCAAAAGTTTGTGGATATTTCTGTTGTTTATACTGTTCACACATCTTTATCACAGAATGGTATCTGTTCATTGTCTGAACACTGTACGATTTCCATGACTCTATCATAGAGCCAGAATCATATGTTATATTCTTATCACAATTATTACTGAACTCTAGTGATAAATACTTCAACTGAAATTTAAATCAAAACATATTAAACATCTGAAATTTAATCAAAACATATTAAACATCTCAAACTTAAATCAAAACATATTAAACATCTGAAACTTAAATCAAAACATATCAAACATCTGAAACTGAAATCAAAACATATCAAACATCTGAAACTTAAATCAAAACATATCAAACATCTGAAACTTAAATCAAACAATATCAAACATCTGAAATTTAATCAGAACATATTAAACATCTGAAATTTAATCAGAACATATTAAACAACTGAAATTTAAATCAACATATCAAACATCTGAAATTTAAATCAAATAATATCAAACAACTGAAATTTAATCAAAACAAATTATACATTTGAAATTTAATCAAAGCACATTAAACAATTTAAATCAAAACATATTACAGGTAGCTGAAATGTTGATTTAACAGCCCTGACAGCCCTTACTGCTCAATACTGCTCAACTAGGCTGCTCAACATGGATGTAAAAATTATGTAAGAAAAATTACTTACCATATGTAAATATATATTAATATCAAATAATTGATTGATAGGTGTAAATAATATCAAACTGGGTCCTAAACTAACTTGTCGAGATAATGTTAAACTTTTCACTCCTAATGGTGTTATCATCTTAACTGCAGGCTGAAAAAAACATAACTTTGTAATTTAGTCACATGGTAAATTGGTCACTGTTAATCAGTCACATGGTAAATTGGTCACTGTTAATCAGTCACATGGTAATTGGTCATTGTTAATCAGTCACATGGTAAATTGGTCACAGGAAATCAGTCACAGGATAAATCAGTCACTGTAATTCAGTCACAGGATAAATCAGTCACTGAAAATTAGTCACTTGATAAATTGGTCACTGTAATTCAGTCACAGGATAAATCAGTCACTGAAAATTAGTCACAGGATAAATCAGTCGCTGAAAATTAGTCACATGATAAATTGGTCACTGTAAATCAGTCACATGATAAATCAGTCACTTGGTCACAAGTTTGTCAAAGAAAACTTTCACACAGAAAATTGCCATGACATTCGTGTGACCAAATTACCTTGATCATATAACTGAGACCAAATTACCTTGATCATATAACTGAGACCAAATTACCTTGATCATATAACTGAGACCAAATTACCTTGATCATATAACTGAGACTAAATTACCTAGATCATATAACTGAGACCAAATTACCTTGATCATATAACTGAGACCAAATTACCTTGATCATATAACTGAGACCAAATTACCTAGATCATATAACTGAGACCAAATTACCTTGATCATATAACTGAGACCAAATTACCTTGATCATATAACTGAGACCAAATTACCTTGATTATATAACTGAGACCAAATTACCTTGATCATATAACTGATAACTGAGACCAAATTACCTTGATCATATAACTGATAACTGAGACCAAATTACCTTGATCATATAACTGAGACCAAATTACCTTGATTATATAACTGAGACCAAATTACCTTGATCATATAACTGATAACTGAGACCAAATTACCTTGATCATATAACTGATAACTGAGACCAAATTACCTTGATTATATAACTGAGACCAAATTACCTTGATCATATAACTGAGACCAAATTACCTTGATCACATAACTGAGACCAAATTACCTTGATCATATAACTGAGACCAATTTACCATGGGATCAAATTGCTTGAGACCAAAATCCATGTCAGCAATTTATATATTTATATATGTAAGTCAATCTACTATAAAAAATATCAGACAGTGTGAAAAAATATACATGTAACTGGTATTTATAAATATTCTATTACCTTTTGTCTGTTCTGTAGGACCCATTTAACTATACTAGAACTTGTATAGTTAGCTTCAATAGGATATTTCTGAAACAAAAATAGATTCAAAACATTAAAAGGAATTCAAAAGAAATCTGATGGCCTTGTTTGAGTTAATTGGGACTATTCTATTTGCACCATTCTGATTTGCAGTTTTATACTTTGGTTACTGAAATTCCATTATGGCTCTTGCTCCATAGTTTTTGGGTCAAGTGTTAAATCCCAAAATAGGTCAAGATAGGGCATTCGTATGTATCAACCAGGTTAACCCTATCAAAATAGTCGTTCGGATGAGACAATAAACCGAGACCACATGTGCTGCAGGCTGTACACATAAAAGATCTCTGGACAGTTGGAAATCGCAAAAAGAGTAGACTTATGCCACTGTCTTGACAAAATTACCCTCATTGTACACTGCATGGTATTACCTCTCTTCATTAGCCCATAAGGTGCAGAAAAGTAGGATGTAAAACTTCATTCATTTCTTTACCCTATCTTTTGCTTCAAATAAAACAATAAAGTCTTCAGTAAAAAAACTTGACTTACCAAAGTGGTATTAGCTGACCTCAACAAGACTATTTCAGATATATTATTCAAAGAATAAACTGCTGCTAAACTTGGTGTTGATATCACACTGTATTTCAATATCTGATAGGGATCTATATACAATAAAACCAGAATGAATTTAGACAATGGAAAACACCAACTTACAAAAAAACAAAACAAAATTTGTAAAAATTTGTATGTGTATTACTATTAGGAAGAATGATGGCATCAATTTGCACCATTCCAATTTTCAGACATCTATGGTACATGCAATTCCAATAAAACTTAAAGTTCTCTGATATTGCAACTGATCGAAAATTGGAATGTGCAAATCGATGTTTTACAATCCAACTGAACACAACCAGAATCAGCACAAAATATAGTTTTACAGAATGAAGAAGATTGAGTTAAATACTGTCTAACTGTTGTATATTTAGGTACCATAGTTACCTAATAATTATATTCAAGATAAACTTGAGATATCAAAATTATCTTATTTTCAAAGCATTCATCAGTCTCAGTATGTGGTGGTTTATTAAGTTTTCGGGTGTAAAAAGTCATGAAAAAAGTCTTTTAACTGCTGAAAAATTGCTGTCACATACATCAAAAATGTTTTACTCTTAATCAAAAATGTGATAAAACATTTCATTCTGTGTTGAACAGAAGATGTTTAATGTGAACTATGTTTCTTTCTCAGTTTTATAATAATGGAATAAGAAACTAAATATTTGAATTACCGTGTTCAACACTCCTCATAGAAGCATAATAATATTGTAGATAGCCAGGAGGCTGGGGTGAAGAATTAAAATCAAAATATGCTAATACAGCCATCTGAAATTAAAAAAAAACACTGTTGTAGAGCTAGTCTTCAATAAGGCTGGATAATATTGGGTCCAGTTGATATCATCTGTGTTTCCAATGAGAATTGTAAAGTAGAGCTAGGTCTAACATTGCATTTACACTGAGTTTAACTGGTTCCCGAGCGAATACAGCCTCAATCAAAATGTCACATATTATTGACAACTTGTGGTGTACAAGACTACCGTTAAGACCAGTAAGAAATGCAATTGACCTTGCGCCCCCTATTGCCAAACGAGAAAAAGCTGGCTTTTGTGTTTCCACTGAGTAAAATGAAAGCCAGCTTCAAGCTAGCTGAGATGATACCTTCGGATTTTTTCAACCTGGTTTTTCCCCGTCAGTGATGCAGGTAAGAGGCGCTGACATGGGAAAAGTGTCGTTTGGATGGGATAATAAACCGAGGTCCTGTGTGTTAAAGGCTGTGAATATTTAAGATCCCTCGGCAGTTGGAAATTGAAGAAGAACAGGCTCAGGCTGCTGTCCTGGCAAAATTTCCCTCATTGCACCCTGCATGGTGTTGCCTGTCTTCATTAGCCCACACGGTGCAGAATACTAGGAGTAAAACTCCATTCATTTCATTTCATTTATGCAACATAGACAATATGACTTTAGCTTATGTTTTGAAGCAGCCACGAATATGCACAAATTATATTATTCAACTATACAGGTATTTCAAAACAATTAGTTGATACATGATTATAAGCTAATTTGTTTACATTCAACTTACATCATTTTCAGCTACATGGTCTGTCACCTCATTAACTGAATGTACTAATGACAATGGATATATTAAATCTTCTAAAAATTTCACCATATACTCTGCAGATGATGATCCTACAAAAACATAAACACTATTCAAACAAACGTTCTCACAGTAGCATTTCCATTTATGCATTTTTAATTGGCATATTTAAGTGGATACAGTTATGATAAATGGAAAATATTATGCAACTTTTGCAACAGATGAATCAGTCTAATCAAAATTTGACCTGACTTCTGTTCGTATATCATTAAGTTTCGTTTGGAATATTTCACTAGCTATCAGCTTTCGAGGCATATTAGACTAGCTTATCAAGTCCGCTAGTCTAATACACCTTGTAATTCACCTTTGTTTCAGTCACATTATCCGTAGCAGGAAAGGGCACCGATGTGATTGGTTAAAGCAGACGTCAAGCAAGGTTAACAGAATGAAAGGAAAGTGTTAGACCTTACTGTCTATTATAAGACATTCCAAACGAAACTAATAAAATACAAACGGAAGTTAAGTTTGATGAATGAGACTGGGTTTATTCCTAAAGATAATCATGAGATGATGCACATTTTTTCCTTATAATCTACCATGATCTATGATTATCATAAGTCATAACAGACAGCTTATTTAATACAGCTCACAGTCATGTTTTGGATATAAAATCATCATCAGGATAGCTAATATTCCAATTTAGATCTTTAGTCATATATATAAACAAAGTAGGCAAACTTCAATTAAAAGAGGACTCTTGAAATACAAATTGCAGGTTCTAAATTCCAGTAGAGTAGCCAGGATTTCATTGACAGGGGGATCATCCAAGCATCTCAGCTCAACTTTTGGATTTGAGAGGGTACTAGTTGAGGTGGGCGGTGAGGAGGGAGCCTTCCCCTGGAAATTTTCTAATCTAGGAAGACAGAGAATGCAACTAACTCGATTTTGGCAGTTCCATAGTGCCACGGTTAATTCAGAACTGGAAATGAACCTTACCAAGATATCTATAGCCATCTAAATTAGAGAAATAGGCATAGAGCACAGGAAACATCATAAATTTATATCTTTTTCTACATGATCCTTGTGGCCACCAACAATTGATACCAATAAATTTTACCTACAAAATATTTTCAATATAACATTATTGCTTCTGTTCCAATTAAAGATAGTTGTAAATTTGCAAACATTTCTTCATATTTCCTTGAAATGATCAAAAATGCAAAACTAACTATGTGATAAAAAATACCTGTCGTAGTAAGATTAAGTATTAAAGAGATTTTTTCAGAGGCTTTCTTAACTTCTTGTGTGTATCATGGACACCAATAGCATCAGTTTGTACCACTCAAACTTTCAGTGAGACGTCTGTGGTTACATAGTCTCTGATACATATAAAAAATTTAGAAAATCTTGTTACACATCATCTTAAGTTCAGCATAATTATTCTAGTAAACTTGCATGTTAGACCATGGTAGGATTTATCAAATAGGCTTTGTTTTTTGACGAGGGTGGGGATCATCCAGTTCTGCATAGAACAATGTGAAAATGCTCACCTGATTTTGCATAAATTTGGCAGCCTTCTGAAATTCCCATCTGAGAGACATAGATTTGGCACACCATGGTGCATAATACATAACAAATATAAACTGTTCATTATGTAAAATATTTACAACTGGTTCTAAGTTTCCATATGGTAGATCAATCACTGGTGAATTTGTTGGAAAAAATCTTTTGGGATCTTTGGGTGGAGCTGTAATGCTTTTAGTTTGCAAACTGAAGGGGAAAAAAGTGAGACATCAGCAATGTCATTTCATGCATGTGATAAAAATAAAATAAAAAGGATATAATTTCAACTGTGTCATAAGTTCTTACTACATTCAAGCTATAGTTTGGCAACCATTGAAATGACGTAACTTTATGTCAAATTCATTCGCAGAGTTCAAAACCTGTCATTGGAGACAGAACAATGGCACTCACAATAATGCTAACAACTGATTTTAAATCGTAAACAAACATGTTGTGTATAAAAGAATGAATATATTCGATGTGTTACCTTGTCCCATATCGACCAAAAATTGTGATCACTATGACCAGTACCAAGACACATAGTTCTGGGTGTCTGGCCATTACTCTTAGACACACATTTGACTGAACATTCGATAAAACTGGGCCATGTGTGTCAATCACATCATTACTCGCCATTGACTTCGCTCCACGTCAGATATTGTTAGACGCGCGTTCATTGTAGTATCCTGGCGAGTACAAACTGAAAGTAGAAAATATAGACACAGACTACAAATATTTCACAAAATAGTTTTACGAAATGCACCAGCTTGAAAAACACATAAAAGGAAGAATCAATAATCGAAATGGAGTTGGTCAATAATTCGCCACGATATTTTGACCCTTCTCAGTTAACAGGATAAGAATTTATGTAGACTCAACATTAAAGCCTGTAAGGAATATTTAATACTTTTTTGGTATCTGTAAATTTTACCAAAGGAAGGTTTATCTTGATCGACCTTGAGACACTGGCATCAGCGATATTCAATTATATATAATTTGCAGCCAGGCGTCTGTGATTTTTGCTATTTCACTAAAGTTAAGCTATCACGCATAGGCCTATATATTAGCAGCTCTTTCCATAAACGATTAAGCATTTCCACAACAAACAGAAACCACAGACATCTGGACGTTAACATGGAATAGGGCCTAATGCAAAAAGCAGTCATATTTTATTGCTCCAATGGCCGACATATAATAACAGCTCTTTCAACCTCTTAGAAGAATTGCATGGAATATAGGCCTACATGATTGCTCAAGGGGTTAAATGTCGAAAATGTAGCTTACACCCCAACGCCTCTTAAAGGCTTTTCTAAAAAAATAATGCGTGCTTCATAGACGTTCATTTAAAATGCTATTATCAAATATATCGACCAATTTCAGAATAGATTTTATTGATCTTTAAATAACAAACACGTTTTAAAATTAAATATTCAGCTAATGCGTTCAAAACTCTTAATTAACCAGTATCATATTTTAAAAGTGAGCGAATCATGGAAGGTGTATTACTTCTGCTGCTCTTGGTTATTATTAGTTATGTTTGTGGTAACGTATGTTCGGACCTTGTGTACATGGAGATAACTTATACAAAAAAATTGCTGGACAATTCTTACAAGGAAAAAGAAGTGGAAACTGTGAAGGAATGCCTTGAAAATTGTAGAGATGATACCCATTGTAAATCTGTTGGAATTAAAGTCAACTCAATGATGTGTGTGTTGTATAAACAGAGGGCTTATGCTGGACAAAACTCAGTTACATGATAGGGTGGTATATTATTGGCAACTTGAAGGTAACAATGTATAATTATTCAATTGGAGTTTTTACGGAAGTATCGAAGAATGGCGATAGTCTCGCTTGAGCGGGAAATATTTCAATGCTTGCATTATAATTTGTAGACATACCTTGACGACGTTTTGCCGCCAAAATTACATGCAAAAGCACCAGCGAAGCTACGCAGAAAGTCGGCAAACATTTACCGATACTGTATAGCGTTTGAGATAATTTTCAGGAAATATGCGGCTACGTTAGGAGTCTCTGCACTGGTTAGTGGAAGTTCGCCAAATAGTTGAAAGCATTCTGCAAACCTTCGTCAAACATTCTTTGGTTACTATGAAAATTTAAGTTGCAGGGAGAGGCTATAGGAGATTTTATTGGTTTACTGAGGATGCTTCAAGTGATGTTTCATCAGCTTAAAGTCTGACTTTCTCCCAGACTTACAAAGGTCACTACAAATTTCTGTGTTCCCAAAATTCCAGGTATCAAGTTGGCTATAACTTTGCGTCATTTAGCCACTGGTATTTATATAACAGCTTTGTTTACTCATGCAGATCACACATCAACATGCCCAACCTAGTGAGAGAAGTGCGCCAGGTACGGGAATTTCAAGAAGAAAAGATTGTGATGCCCAACACTGGGGATGGTTGTAGAAATGTGGCCTTCAAATTTGTGACAATTGGCACATTCACAATGCACTCGATGGGCAAGCATGTCGCTCTCCGGGCACGCAAAGATTCAAAAACTCTGTACCACAGCTATAAGAGATTCTTTTCTATCATCCCACTGGGTTTGTAGATGCTGAGTGCAAGTTTCTGTGGTACAGTAATGGTGCTGGTGGATCTACAAGCGACTGCTGTCTTTAACGCTTATACACTCAAGGCACAGGACCTGAACATCCCTACCCCTGACCCGTTACGTCGCCGAGATGAAATATTGTCACAAACGGTCCGCCCAGATATCGGCAAACATTTGCCGACGTTCTGCGTTCGCAAATGCTTTTGCATTGCACATCGCAGGAGCACGGCGAACTTTTTCCTTCGCCCAGTGGGACTGTGGCCTTAACAAGTCGAATATGTTTGTTAAAAATTCGATTTTTTTTAGTTAAAAAAATTATTTAAACTCGAGATTTTTTGAGGTTTTATTTTGTTTCAAAAGTCGAATTGTTGAGTTTGCTACGTTTTGTTTGCAGAAAAATTCTCGGCTTCTCAACATTGTATAAGTAAACATCTCCAGCCACGAAATGATCTAGTTAATCTACATATTGGTTACAGGATTTTTCAGAAGCGTATCGCTTACGAATACCTCTACACTTGTTAACTTACACTTGTTTGCTTACATATGTAGTCGCAGCTTTATAGTCACAGACAACCGTAACACGTGGCTTCCAGCTTCAGATATAGCCAACAGGTACATTGGGTTACCAGAATACATCTATATGTCTCTTACAAAAACTGGTCCACAGGGTTGGAAACTAAGGCCATAAGACAGAAAGCACAACTCTCATGGCGGCAACTGTCCTGTATTTTAGATAAAATGTCCAACAGATCTTGGTTATATGGAGGATCCTACTAGTAATATATGCAGTAAAATTCACGAAACGAAATTATCATGGACCAGCGCTCAAGCTGAATGTGAAAAAGATAATGGCCAATTGTTTATAGCGGATACCCAGGCAAAGAGAGACATATCAATAAAGGTTCGAACAGGTAATAATACTTTTGGGATTAACTGAATGGATGAGTTTTACTTCTTACTTTTCACATCCAAATTGGGCTATTGGAGACTTGAAGTATGCAATAACGGACATAATATATTTCCTACGGAGCTATAATGCAACATATAGTCAGCTTTACTGAAACTTTCTTAAGTTACAACCCTGATCTGTGTTTTGTATAAAACCACAATTCTACGATCCTGTTTTCATTCTAATTTATATTTTATTAATAACAGACTTGTAAATAAGTTTGATCACAGTTGCTTGAGTTTCGGGTTACACGATGAGACATATCTGTTAATGAACACCGTTCTAAAGAAATTATATTAAGAAGATCTTGAAGGTGAAAGTAAATATAATATAATTTCTTATATATAGGGGCAGTCTTCCTTGGTGCTTCAGATTTAGACGAAGAGGGTGTATGGAAATGGCTAAATGGCGAACCAGTAAATCGCACCCTGTTCAGTCCAAACGAGCCAAATAATTTTAATGGTCATGAAAATTGCATGAGTGCAAGAAGCACTGGTTACAATGATGAAAAGTGTTCTCGAAATTTTAAATATATTTGCGAAGTTCCAACAAAAAAGGCATATTGCCCAAATTGATGTAGTTAAGATAATCTAAAAGAATATTGTATCATACTCGTGTAAATACACTGTAAATCTACTAATTTAGATGCTTAACGAAGACGAGGAACATTTTAAGCGAACAATCGTATAAATTTTGTTTCGATCATTTTTTTCACCGTCTGCGGATTACAGAAACACGAACAGCAGCGTTAACGACGAACATTAGCGCCGAACATTCATCGACGAAAGACCAATCAGTGATCGAAGCCAGACCACATGACACTCAAAACGGCGACGTCCAGTGAATCCACCAACACAAAATTTTGGACTGTGGAGATGGAGCAGATTTTAGAAGATATGTGGTCGCAATCTGCCTCAATATTGTGTTGAACCCATCTTTGTCAACCCGGAAATATCGCTGATACATTGCTGGGTCGTCAGCCGACAGCTCCTGTACAAGGTTGCCGAACACACCCTGCTCTTTACGACGTTGAATCCAGGTACGGACCCAAATGCTCCTATTTCGCCGTCTACGTTGGCGTCTTTTTAAAATTAATAAAATAGCTAACGCAATTTTACATTTTCTTTGGGGAGCCGCGGTGGCTCAGTGAGTTAGACTCTTGCTCGCTAACCTGAAGGTCCAGGGTTCAATCCCGGCATAGGATTTTTCAACCCGGTTTCCCCCTGTCAGTGATGCAGGTAAGAGAGGCTGACATGGAAAAAGCGTCTAGTCGTCCGGATGGGACAATAAACCGAGGCCTCGTGTGCTACAGGCTGTGCATGTTGAAGATCCCTCGACAGTTGGAAATCGAAAAAGAGCAGGCTAATGCCGCTGTCCTGGCAAAATTTCCCTCATGGCACCCTGCATGGCGTTGCCCGTCTTCATTAGCCCACAAGGTGCAGAAGAGTAGGACGTAAAACTCCATTCATTTCATTTTTTACATTTTCTTCTGGACGTCGCCATTTTGAGGTCATGTGATTTTCCGTGGCACTGGCGTAGGCCTATTGTTCGAGCTAAATGTTCGTCGTCTGCGGAATTATGTTTGTCGTCTGCGGATAACGGAAAACAAATATATTTGTTCGATGTTTTTGTTCGTCGACAGACATGTTCCTCGTCTGCGTTGGGCTTTAAGTGATGAGTTGTTCACCCAAACAGTTAATAATCTACTAATTTAGATGTTTTAAGTGATGAGTTGTGTTAAAAAACAGTTCACTCTACTGAGTAGTGTTTGAAATCTACTCACTATCAATAATCTACTAATTTAGATGTTTTAAGTGATGAGTTGTGTTAAAAAAGTTGTTCACTCTACTGAATAGTGTTTGAAATTTACTCACTATCAATAATCTACTAATTTAGATGTTTTAAGTGATGAGTTGTGTTTAAAAACAGTTCACTCTACTAAGTAGTGTTTGAAATCTACTCACTATCAATAATCTACTAATTTCGATGTTTTAAGTGATGGGTTGTGTTTAAAAACAGTTCACTCTACTGAGTAGTGTTTGAAATCTACTCACTATTAATAATCTACTAATTTAGATGTTTTAAGTGATGAGTTGTGTTAAAAAACAGTTCACCCCACTGAGTAGTGTTTGAAATCTACTCACTATTAATAATCTACTAATTTAGATGTTTTAAGTGATGGGTTGTGTTTAAAAACAGTTCACTCTACTGAGTAGTGTTTGAAATTTACTCACTATCAATAATCTACTAATTTAGATGTTTTAAGTGATGAGTTGTGTTTTAATACAGTTCACTCTACTGAGTAGTGTTTGAAATCTACTCACTATTAATAATCTACTAATTTAGATGTTTTAAGCGATGGGTTGTGTTTAAAAACAGTTCACTCTACTGAGTAGTATTTGAAATCTACTCGCTATTAATAATCTACTAATTTAGTTGTTTTAAGTGATGTGTTGTGTTTAAAACAGTTTACTCTACTGAGTAGTGTTTGAAATCTACTCACTATCAATAATCTACTAATTTAGATGTTTTAAGTGACAGTTCACCATATTGGAAGTGCTTAACAAAAGACATGGAAATTGAAATGTATAAAAACGTTGTATTTAACAAAGGCTAAAGGTATACTACCTCTTTGTATGACCACAGATTTAACAAATGGTGGATGATTCTGAAAATTTTTTATTTTTCATTTGACTATTTTACGAGGTGAAATTACTGTTCCGGAAGATTTACTGCTTATGTTTTAAATAGTTATATTATACTTTTAGAGCTTTTAAAAAGCTAATAGATTACATGATTAAAATTTAATTATAAGTTAATGGATCTTTGAAAGACAAATATCGTGTATTTAGATTTATTCAACTTTTATCGATTTTCGTTTTAGTTACTTGTTGTGTATAGACACGAATTCTTTTATTCATATTTCTTAAAAGTTATGTTGCACTGAGTCTCACCGCAGTTATTTATTATTCCTAGGTCTCATTGGTAAAGCTTGATTAATTAAAACCACAAGGGAAAAGATCTACTTTGCAGTAGACCAAAACAGAATTAATTAAAACGCGATAACAAAGTCGATATTTGATACTTTCGAGCATTCGTTTGTTGCAGGCAATTTAACGAAACCAATGAGCCTTATTGAAACAAGTCTGAAATTCGAACAGTTCAAATTCATGCTTATATACCTATGACAGTGAATCTCTTTGATATCACAGGTTGATTCCAATCCATTGATGACCTCCCAACTTGAGGCATGTTCTTTATTCTGAGGAACAAGTCTTACCCAGGTTCTTTATTCTTTGGAACACATCTTACACAGGTTCTTTATTTTGAGGAACAAGTCTTACCCAGGTTCTTTATTCTTTGGAACATCTTATCCAGTTTCTTTACTTTGAGAAACAAGTCTTACCCAGGTTCTTTATTTTGAGGAACGCATCTTACCCAGGTTCTTTATTCTTTGGAACACATCTTACCCAGGTTCTATTTTTTGAGGAACAAGTCTTACCCAGGTTCTATTTTTTGAGGAACAAGTCTTACCCAGGTTCTTTATTCTTTGGAACACATCTTATCCAGTTTCTTTATTTTGAGAAACAAGTCTTACCCAGGTTCTTTATCCTGAGGAACACATCTTACCCAGGTTCTTTAGTCTTTGGAACACATCCTATCCAATTTCTTTATTTTGAGAAACAAGTCTTAACCAGGCTCTTTATTCTGAGGAACACATCTTACCCAGGTTCTTTAGTCTTTGGAACACATCTTATCCAGTTTCTTTATTTTGAGAACCAAGTTTTACCCAGGTTCTTTATTCTGAAGAACAAATCTTACCCAGTTTTTTTTTATTCCGAGAAAGTCTTACCCGGGTTCTATTTTTTGAGGAACAAGTCTTACCCAGGTTCTTTATTTTGAGGAACCCATCTTACCCAGGTTCTTTATTATGAGGAACACATCTTACCCAGGTTCTTTATTATGAGGAACACATCTTACCCAGGTTCTTTATTATGAGGAACACATCTTACCCAAGTTCTTTGTTATGAGGAACACATCTTACTCAGGTTCTTTATTATGAGGAACACATCTTACCCATGCCCTATATTATGAGGTACATATCTTAGATTTGATGGAAAGATTTTTCCTATATGATTTTGGCTTCTAGAGCTTTAAGAAATACTGTCTTCCATTGTATAACACGGGCAATAGTGGATAAGAAGGCTATCTATTTGCAGATAGCATGATGGTCATAGGGTTGTGGTACAATCTTTGTAGACCGAGCAATAGTCTTCTATAACTTCCATGGCAAAACATTTCTCAGACAAAACCTTTAGTCTTAAATTGTTCGTCTACAATAAAAGTTATTGTCTCTAAAAATGTTTCAGTTGAACCAAGCAATAAGTCGACAAGTTGTATGCAACATTTCCAAATAACTTAAAAGATCTTGATATTACTGAACTTGTCTGTAAAACGAGGAATCAGTCGATGAAAGACGATAAAGGCTTAGGCCGTCGGTAAAACCGATTGGTTAACAGAAAGAGTGAAAACCTTGTGTCAATTATGATTGGTAATTGGTAAACTGTTCCTCTTCAGTCCACATTAAAAGTGATTTGTGGGTAAATATTGTTAGTTGTGTCAAGCACAAGAATCGAAAAACCTTAATGCATTGTTGGCATAATGATATTGAAATGATAGGAAATGATATCGAAAAGAGTGGTGCAAAGTTTTTCATCTGGAAGCAACGTTTTAACCGAACGTTAAAGCTTACCCCCGTTCCACTAAGCGACGATCTTCGAAGGCGCTCTGTGAGAACGGCACATATTGCCATATACAGCGCCAGAAGTGCTACCTGACCTCTTGTGGATCTCTTTCAGGTCTGCATGATCTTATATAATAAGCTTTATGCTCATTTTTGTGTTATGTATATTTGTTTGTACATTGTTTGTAAAGTATGACGTAAAACTCCATTCATTTCATGTCATTTTCAAAGGGTTGGATGTCGAAATGTAGATTACACTCCAATGCCTACCACGAAGTGCTTTTCAAAAATATTTTTGCTTCATTGACATCTATTAAAAATGCATTTATCTCTATTATCAAATATATCGACCAATTTTCAGAATAAAGTTTTATCGATCTTTTGAAAATGGCAAATATGATTTAAGCTAATTCGCTGAAAAGTCTAACCAGTATAGGTGGGATATATTATTAGTGAGCGAATCATGGAAGGTATATTACTTCTGCTGCTCTTGGTTATTATCAGTTATGTTTGTGGTAACGTATGTTCTGACCTTGTGTACATGAAGATAGCTTATACAAAAAAACTGCTAGACAATTCTTACAAGGAAAAAGAAGTGGAAACTGTGAAGGAATGCCTTGAAAATTGTAGAGATGATACCCATTGTAAATCTGTTGGAATTAAAGTCAACTCAATGATGTGTGTGTTGTATAAACAGAGGGCTTATGCTGGACAAAACTCAGTTACAGGAAGTAATGGTAGGGTGGTATATTATTGGCAACTTGAAGGTAACAATGTATAATTATTCAATTGAAGTTTTTACGGAAGTATCGAAGGATGGCGATAGGCAAGAGCGGGAAAGAATGTTTGACGAAGGTTCGCAGAATGCTTACAGAAAGTCGGCAAACTTGCACTGCGAACCTTCATCAAACATTCTTAAGTTACTATCAAAATTTAATTGTAGAGTTGCAGTGGTAGGCAATGGGAGATTTTTACAGTTGCTCAGCTGGATACTGGCTTAGCATCTTAGCATCAAGACAGTATTGAAATTGAATTGGTCATTTATTATACAAATGACAAATAAACATGATAAAATAAAACAAAGTATAATAGTTGTAAACAATGAATATCAAAGGATGGGTGATAATTCTGCCACCGATATTGGCTCAGTGGTCGAGATGAATCTATCATACTACATCGTCAGGCAACCTGAACCAATATTCCCCATGTCACGTGATTGACTCCCACCTGACACTTAAAAATATTTTATCAGTAACCAATAAAATTGGTTACTGATAAAATATTTATTGGTTTACTGAGGATGCCTCAAGAGATGTTTCATCAGCTTAAAGACTGACTTTCTCCCACACTTACAAAGATCACTACAAATTTCTGTGTTCCTCAAATTCCAGGTATCAAGTTGGCTATAACTTTGCGTCATCTGGTCACTTGGAATTTATATCACAACCCACAGCCTTCCTTACACATTCAGAGAAGTGTGCCAGATACAGGGAATTACAAGAAGAAACGTTTGTGATGCCCAACACTGAGGATGTAAACCTCCAAATTTCGAACAATTGGCACATTCACAATTCCCTCGGACACTCGATTACACTACTTCTTACTACGATCAATGCAGAAATACGACAAACTTTCTGCGTATATCAGTATATATACTGTCAACTTTTTTCTTCGCCAATAGTTCGCAAACCATCGCAAAGCCAAAAAGTAATTTGTGTATAGTAGCCCCCACAAAAAGATAGTGACCTCTGCTCTATGCTTTTGTCAGATGTTGATCGCTTATTTATTACTTTTCTAAAGTAAAAGTCGAATTCTCGTGTTTCCAGAAAAATTCTCGGCGTCTCAATATTGAATAAGTAAACATATCCAGCCACTAAGTGTTATGATCTAGTTCTAGTTAATCTAAATATTGGTTGCAGGAGTTTTCAGAAGCTTAATCTTTACATATCACTGAACGATACTTCTACACTTGTTAGGCTGCGATTATATGTGTACGTACACTCAAACACAAGCTCAAGCTCAAGCTTAAAACTTGAAAGTATGATTGTGTCCACAATGATTCGAACTTCGGTTAGGGTCAATAAGAACTCTAACGACTTCGGTTACCAGAATACATCTATAAGTCTCTTACAAAAATTGGTCCACAAGGTTGGAATTTAAGGCCATAAGACACAAAGCACAATTTTCATGGTGACAACTGTTCTGTATTTTAGATAAATGTAGAACAGATCTTGGTTATATGGAGGATACTACTAGTAATATATGCAGTAAAATTCACAAAACGGAATTATCATGGACCAGCGCTCAAGCTGAATGTGAAAAAGATAATGGTCATTTGTTTATAGCGGATACCCAGGCAAAGAGAGACGTATTAACAAATCTTAAAGCAGGTAATATTAATTTAGGAATTAACAAAATAAATGAGTTTTACGTCTTACTTTTCAAATCCTAATCGGGCTATTGGAGATTTATTAGACATGAAGTATGCAATAACGGACATATTTCCTATGGAGCTATGCAACATATTGTCAGCTTTACTGAAGCCATTTTCATAACCTATACTGGTTGTTCTTATTCTGGTGTTCTTATACTGGTTGTTCTTTTACTGGTTTAGTTGAGTTATTTTAATATCTTATACAGGTTTAGTTGAGTTTAAATGAGTTACTTTAATATCTTATACAGGTTTAGTTGAGTTTAAATGAGCTACTTTAATATCTTATACAGGTTTAGTTGAGTTTAAATGAGTTACTTTAATATCTTATACAGGTTTAGTTGAGTTTAAATTAGTTACTCTTTAATATCTTATACTGGTTTAGTTGAGTTGTTTTCATATCTTATAACTGGCTGTTCTTAATGTGGTTTGGTTGAGTTATTTTCACATCTCATAACTGGCTGTTCTTAATGTGGTTTGGTTGAGTTATTTTCATATCCTATACTGGTTGTTCTTATACCGGCTGTTCTTATACTGGTTTGGTTGAGTTATTTTCATATCCTATACTGGTTGTTCTTATACTGGTGTTCCTATACTGGTTTGGTTGAGTTATTTTCATATCCTATTCTGGTTGTTCTTATACTGGTTGTTCTTATACTGGTTTAGTTTAGTTGTTTTCATATCCTATACTGGCTGTTCTTAATGTGGTTCAGTTGAGTTATTTTCAGCAACAACTGTTTTCATTGCATTATCCATATCCAAGTGTATTTGACAAGTCCATGTCACCTTATAAACCCGAAGTCCCACTTATTGTAGTCACTCTTTAGTGGTTAAGTCCTTATGTGGCGTTAGGGGGGGCTGTCGCTATTAAGTCCGGGAGCATATTAGGGTTATGGGGGTGAGGTCGAACCTGGACTGTCTATCTATCTATCTATCTATCTATCTATCTATCTTTTATGTGCTTATGTAAATATTTATATTATCTGTCTTGTGACTGTTATACATGTATTTCTATTTCAATATTATCATCTATTGTTGTATTTGTTTATGTGTTTGTTTCTGATTGTCTATTTGTATGTGTCACTATTTATTGTACAGTTTTGTTTTAGAAATGGATTTATATGAGCAATATGCTTGTTTCCAGGTTTCTAGATCCCTTGATCATTGTTGTATATTAGAATGAACATAAGAAATAAATATTGATTTAAAAAAAAAGCTTTACTGAAACTTTCTTGAGTTACAACCCTGATCTGTGTTTTGTATAAAACCACAATTCTACGATCCTGTTTTCATTCTAATTTATATTTTATTAATAACAGACTTGTAAATAAGTTTGTTCACAGCTGTTTGACTTTCGGGTTACATGATAAGACATATCTGTTAATGTACACCGTTCTATAGATATTATATTAAGAAGATTCAACTTGATCAAGATCTTCATTCAAGAATATTTGAAAGATGATGTTCATGAACAAATGTCGGATCTTGAAGATGAAAGTTAATATAATATATTTTCTTCTAGATATAGATATAGATAAAGTCTTCCTTGGTGCTTCAGATTTAGACGAAGAGGGTGTATGGAAATGGTTAAATGGTGAACCAGTAAAAAGCACCCTGTTCCGTCCAAACGAACCAAATGATTCTAATGGTCGGGAACATTGCCTGATTGAAAGTAGAGCTGGTTACAATGATGTAAGGTGTTCTCTAGATCATACATATATTTGCGAAGTTCCAACAAAAAATGCATATTCCCCAAATTGATGTAATTAAGATAATACTCGTGTAAATACACTGTAAATACAAAACAGTTGAAATCTACTCACTATTAATAATCTACTAATTTAGATATTTTAAGTGATGAGTTGTGTTTAAAAACAGTTTACTCTACTGAGTAGTGTTTGAAATCTACTCACTACTAATCTACTAATTTAGATGTTTTAAGTGATGGGTTGTGTTTAAAACAGTTCACCCTACTGAGTAGTGTTTGAAATCTACTCACTATCAATAATCTACTAATTTCGATGTTTTAAGTGATGAGTTGTGTTTAAAACAGTTCACCCTACTGAGTAGTGTTTGAAATCTACTCACTATCAATAATCTACTAATTTCGATGTTTTAAGTGATGGGTTATGTTTAAAACAGTTTACTCTACTGAGTAGTGTTTACTCACTATCAGTAATCTACTAATTTAGATATTTTAAGTGATGAGTTGTGTTTAAAAACAGTTCACTCTACTGAGTAGTGTTTGAAATCTACTCACTATTAATAATCTACTAATTTAGATGTTTTAAGTGATGGGTTGTGTTTAAAACAGTTCACTCTACTGAGTAGTGTTTGAAATCTACTCACTACTAATCTACTAATTTAGATGTTTTAAGTGATGGGTTGTGTTTAAAACAGTTCACCCTACTGAGTAGTGTTTGAAATCTACTCACTATCAATAATCTACTAATTTCGATGTTTTAAGTGATGAGTTGTGTTTAAAACAGTTCACCCTACTGAGTAGTGTTTGAAATCTACTCACTATCAATAATCTACTAATTTCGATGTTTTAAGTGATGGGTTATGTTTAAAACAGTTTACTCTACTGAGTAGTGTTTACTCACTATCAGTAATCTACTAATTTAGATATTTTAAGTGATGAGTTGTGTTTAAAAACAGTTCACTCTACTGAGTAGTGTTTGAAATCTACTCACTATTAATAATCTACTAATTTAGATGTTTTAAGTGATGAGTTGTGTTTAAAAACAGTTCACTCTACTGAGTAGTGTTTGAAATCTACTCACTATTAATAATCTACTAATTTAGATGTTTTAAGTAATGGGTTGTGTTTAAAACAGTTCACCCTACTGAGTAGTGTTTGAAATCTACTCACTATCAATAATCTACTAATTTAGATGTTTTAAGTGATGAGTTGTGTTTAAAACAGTTCACCCTGCTGAGTAGTGTTTGAAATCTACTCACTATTAATAATCTACTAATTTCGATGTTTTAAGTGATGAGTTGTGTTTAAAACAGTTCACCCTACTGAGTAGTGTTTGAAATCTACTCACTATCAATAATCTACTAATTTCGATGTTTTAAGTGATGGGTTATGTTTAAAACAGTTTACTCTACTGAGTAGTGTTTACTCACTATCAGTAATCTACTAATTTAGATATTTTAAGTGATGAGTTGTGTTTAAAAACAGTTCACTCTACTGAGTAGTGTTTGAAATCTACTCACTATTAATAATCTACTAATTTAGATGTTTTAAGTGATGAGTTGTGTTTAAAAACAGTTCACTCTACTGAGTAGTGTTTGAAATCTACTCACTATTAATAATCTACTAATTTAGATGTTTTAAGTGATGAGTTGTGTTTAAAAAAAGTTTACTCTACTGAGTAGTGTTTGAAATCTACTCACTATTAATAATCTACTAATTTAGATGTTTTAAGTCATGAGTTGTGTTTAAAAACAGTTCACTCTACTGAGTAGTGTTTGAAATCTACTCACTATCAATAATCTACTAATTCAGATGTTTTAAGTCATGAGTTGCGTTTAAAACGGTTCACCCCACTGAGTAGTATTTGAAATCTACTCACTATTAATAATCTACTAATTTAGATGTTTTAAGTGATGAGTTGTGTTTAAAAACAGTTCACTCTACTGAGTAGTGTTTGAAATCTACTCACTATTAATAATCTACTAATTTAGATGTTTTAAGTGATGGTGCCGCGTTTAAAACCGTTCACCATATTGGAAGGGCTCAACAAAAGTCAGGGAAATTGAAATTGTAAATACGTTGTATTTAACTAAAATTAAAGGCATACTACCTCCTTTGCTGACAACAGATTGACCAAAATAAACAAGTTTAACAAATGGTGGCTGATTCTGAAAATCTTTGCTTTATCATATGACTATTTTACGACGTGAAATTCCTGTATCGGAAGATTTACTGCTTATGTTTTAAATATTTATATTATACTTTTAGAGCTTTTAAAAAGCTAATAGATTACATGATTAAAATTTAATTATAAGTTAATGGATCTTTGAAAGACAAATTTCGTGTATTTAGATTTATTCAACTTTTATCGATTTTCGTTTTAGTTACTTGTTGTGTATAGACACGAATTCTTTTGTTCATATTTCTTAAAAGTTATGTTGCACTGAGTCTCACCGCAGTTATTTATTATTCCTAGGTCTCATTGGTAAAGCTTGATTAATTAAAACCACAAGGGAAAAGATCTACTTTGTAGTAGACCATAACAGAACTAATTAAAACGCGATAACAAAGTCGATATTTGATACTTTCATTTTTTGCAGGCAATTTAACGAAACCAATAGTTCAAATTCCATGCTTTTATACCTATGGCAGCAAATCTCTTTGATGTCACAGGTTGATTTTACTCCAAGTCTTACCCAGGTTCTTTATCATGAGGAACACATCTTACCCAGGTTCTTTGTTATGAGGAACACATCTTACCCAGGTTCTTTATTATGAGGAACACATCTTACCCAGGTTCTTTATTATGAGGAACACATCTTACCCAGGTTTTTTATTATGAGGAACACGTCTTGCCCAGGTTCTTTATTATGAGGAACAAATCTTAAACAGGTTCTTTATTATAAGGAAAACGTCTTACCCAGGTTCTTCATTATGAGGAACAAGTCTTACCCAGGTTCTTTATTATGAGAAACACATCTTACCCAGGTTCTTTATCATGAGGAACACATCTTACCCAGGTTCTTTATTATTAGTAACAAATCTTACCCAGGTTCCTTTATCATGAGGAACGTATCTTACCTATGTTCTTTATTATGAGGATCAAGTCTTACCCAGGTTCTTTATTATGAGGAAAACGTCTTACCCAGGTTCTTTATTACGAGGAACAAATCTTACGCAGGTTCTTTATAATGAGGAACACATCTTACCCAGGTTCTTTGTTATGAGGAACACATCTTGCCCAGGTTCTTTAATATGAGAAACACATCTTTCCCAGGTTCTTTTTAAAGAGGAACAAGTCTTACCCAGATCCTTTATTATGAGTTACATACCTTAGATTTGGGGGCCAAGTTTTACTTTTGAGGGTCGGATTTTTCTTATATATTTTTGGCTTTAAGAGCTTTACGAAATACAATCTTCTATTGTATTCGAGATATATACACAAAGAAAAAAGTTAAGCACATCCCAGTTTTTTCATCATAATCAAAATTATATGATGCACTAAGCGGAAATGGAACTTGGTAACTAAATTTTTCAAATTGCATCGGATCCATCGCACATTTAACAACAAAGAAGACCATTTGAGGTAGATTTGTTTTGAGATTTAATATTGGAAATGACATTGGCAGAGAGGTACTCATTTTTTTAAGGGTTACAATTTGCACTGGAAATGTTCATTATCATTATCATTTTGACCTTAAAAGTTCAAAACATCAATAACGTGTGTAACCTCCGTGTACTTGAATGACACAATGTACCCTGTTTCTCATGTTTCCAATGAATCGTCGAACCTCTTCTAATGTTAATTGTCGCCATTCTTGATGCAGTGCTGCTTCCAGTTGCCGAAGAGTTGGAACAGGAGGTTCACGTGCTCGTACTCGTCGCCCAATGAAATTCCAAACATGTTCTATTGGATTTAAATCCTGACTCATATAGCAGGCCATGGTAAAGTTGTAATTGCACTGGTCCTCATAAAATCGTTGACTGCTCGTGAAGGATGTGGTCTAGCATTATCGTCCATGAATTGTGGTCGACTCGCAAGTGTGTGGTTATCAAAATGAGGAACCACAATCGGTTGCAACACGTCACGGATGTACTGTTGTCCTGTCAAGTTACCCCTGATGGTGACCAAATCCAACTTGCAGTCATGGGAGATACACCCCCATATTATGACGGACCCCCCACCATATGGAACTGTTGGTCTGATGTTCTTAGGAGTGTAGGTTGTGTTTTGGTACCTCCACACTCTAGTTCTGCCATCTGTTACATGGAGCAGGAACCGACTTTCATCTGACCAATGAACACGTCTCCAAGACCTCATGTTCCAGTTCTGACGAGCAATACACCAGGCTAAACGTGCTGCCTTGTGGCGATCTGTCAACAAAGGGCGTTTAATTACCCTCCTGGCTTTCATTCCTGTGCTTCTCAACCGATTTCTGAGCGCTCTTAGACTGAAACGACGATTTGGTAGCCATAGGCTTTTCAGACGAGTACTCGTTGCAAAGGGTTCTCGACGAACAAGGCGCTGAAGGTCCCTGTCTTCTCTCTGTGAGGTCACTGGGGTTCTTCCTGATCTGGGTCGATCCTTCACAGCGCCAGTTTGAAGATGTTTATTGACCAGACGACTAATAACAGATTCCGTCCAATTGCACTGTAAGACATTCCGGCATTGTGCATACCGATTATTTTCCATCTTGTGGCATCAGATAAGCGTCTACGTGCCATATGTCCCTTTGTGTGAGTAAAGATCGATTTTGAATGAGAGAATTAAACCAATAGAAATGATAAAAGATACTGCATTTTGAGAAACACAGGGGTAGCAAACTGCACGTGCGGTTCATGTTCTCCACGAGATGTTTTGTCATGATTTGTTCACTCCACTTTATTAAAGGCACATTTTACTTTTCAAAAATCACATATTTATTAAATTATTAAAACTTGGTGCAAAACTATCATGATTTGTTTAAGGATGTGCTTACCTTTTTTCTTTGTGTATATAAATGTATGTGTAACCGGGTACAGGTTAGGGGGTACTTAATTTTCTGTATACTGTTGT